GATGTTTAATTTAGGAAAAAAAATCTTTAATTTGTTTATTTTGTTAAAAAATTTTGATTAAATTTATTTGGGTCATTCAGACTTAAATAACAATAAACAAGTTCTTACATATTCTGAATTTTAAATAAATATTTTATGGACACCCTAATTGTACGATCCGGCCAAATGTTGATGACCAAATTGTTAAATGTTATCGATTTAATGATCTGGTCAAATTAAGTTGGCCACATCATGAAATGTGACCATTTCATGAAATTCTCGAGCATTTCATGAAGTGATCAAATCTACGATATGGCCACGACATATATACATACATACAGATGGAACTAAAGAAGTTTCACTTCAGTCGTGTGGTCATAAGCACACTCGCTTTTTTTTTCATTATGTGTTATTCGTTAGTTTTTTTCTACCCCTTTTGTCTGATTATGATGATATATTAGGTTGGGGAAAAAGTTTCTTTGCATTTTGTATGAAAATACAAAACATTGTTTAATAAAGTTTATTTGCCTTTAACTAAAGTATGTAGGTGCCATTTTTCTCAATAACTTTTTGCCATTTCTTAGGGAGGGGCATGATCCCATTGCTATAGACATTTTCGGGCTTTGATAAAAAAACCGCGTCAAGTGATTTTGGCAGTTCTCTCATGGTGTTTACCTAACACTGCCTCAAGATTTATTTTTCGCGGCTTGCGTTTCTTTTTTACCTTTTTTGCAATAAAATTTGAAAATGTATTGAATCTTTAATTAGATTCACTCATCTCGACAATAAGAATAACAAACGAAAAACACATTTGTCTAATTTCAATTTGGAATTACCGTCTTTAAAATTTAAACTTTTTAATGACACCAAAACCATCCAGATACAAATGGTATAGCCAAAGAGATTTTATTACAAGTTCATACTTACTATAATGCGAAAAGACTTATTCCCCAACCTATTATAAGTTCTATTGATAATATGTTCGTTACGTTCATAGTAATTGCGTTTAAAATCTGTTCCAACTTCTAATTTGCCTTTGCATAGAATAACAGTTATTAGTAGTCAAGACGCTTCTATTGGCCTGTTTTTGAGTCTTCGAAGCGTTTCTGGTAATGAAATAATAAAAAACCATCCGCTATATTCACATGAGCAAAGGTGAAAAATTTATCTATTATTCATTACCTTTCTGTTAGAGAATACTTATTATAGTAACGAAGCGGCCAAGCAACATATTTTGACTAAGGTTTAGAGTTTGTGAAGTTAGGTGTTCTAGAGTTAGGGTGTATAAAATTAGAAACTTGGCCCTACATGATATCTAGTCATTTTTTAACAGTCCGAGTCATTGTCTGGTCGTGGCACCATTTTACATGAAAATGGTTTTGAGTGGGATTTCATTTCTTTTTGTAAGTTTGCTGAAGTGACAAACTTCCATTCCCTAGCTTAAGGGGTTAGGGGATAAAAGTTTTACCAAAATTCAGCTTTCTAGGACATTTCAAAATACCCTAAGAATTTTCATGATCATCAGTGAGTCAGTGACGTAATCAAAGTTTTTTAGATATCAATAAAGTCTAAAGTACAAGAGCTATGCAGTTAAAAAAGTCCGCCATCAAGAAAATATCCCGAAATTTTGTTTATCTGGTATAATCCAAACCAAAGTAATAATTGTCCAAAAAAACGATAAAGTGCTTCGAGAAAAGGTAGGTAGTGCCCTTGCACTTCGCTTGGATTGTCTTGACTCCACCAACTGCGCAGCCCCCCGATCCCCAAAACAAGTGTGAAAATCAGCATTTGACCTATATTTAGTTCGATTACGAACCGATAAGACGCGGTTATTCAGACATATTTAAAAAATATATCATTTCATAATGTTCGGAAAAGAAAAAATCGTTTAAGCCATTTTAAAGGTCCCTGTATATAATCTAAAGGAAGCACATATTAAATGATAATGAAACCAATGAAATATTTAAAATTAAGAAAGATGAGGGTTAAAATATTATTTCAACGCAATTGGACTCCGTGGTTATAAGGGTGTTGAAGAATAGACATTACATACGACAGATTAAATAATATTAATAAAATATTTAATAAAATTAACTCACTTTTCACTGCGGTGTGATTTGAAATTTATTTGAAACTAGCTGTGCCCCGCGGTTTTTAGGGATATTTTTCCACAGTAAAACGTAGCCTATGGGTTTACCTAGGTTGTCAGCTAACTCCATACCAAATTTTATTAAAATCGCTCTAGCCGTTTAAACGTGAAGAAGTAACAAACATACACATTCACACACTTTCGCCTTTATAATTTAGTGTGATTCATACTCTATTCTAATTTCAAATCCTACCGTGGATTCTGCAGTGAAAAGTAAATATGTTCGTACAGAATAGCACTGCTGCTTGCAGATAAAATACACAATTACAAGCAATACTTATCCACATAGGTACGACGTAGTTTTACTATAGATTATTTTTGAATTGTTTTCTGGTAAATAAATATTAATGATATTAGAAATAAAATATTGAAGATCTTGCAAGAGTAAAAATTTAAAAAAAAAAATTTTTTACGTCTGCAAACTTAAAGTTATATCCACGAGATGTAAGTAGCAAAAATGCTGTGAGAATTTTAGAGATGAGTTAATATACCTTAAAAGTTTGTAAGAGTGAAGTTAATTTGCGTTATCAAATCCCACACGTCGTAATTGCAATGTCAATTTTAAAGTGAAAAATTGATTAAGTCTTGCAGTTGACGTGACTATTGCAAAATACGACCCATTTCAGAATAGTGTTCCAAGCGTAGAATTTTTGTTATATACATTCCTATTTCCTATCGACACTGTATACTGACAATGTAAAAACTGTGTATCATACATAAAAATGCTTTCATTAAAACTGCTCATTAAATTTATCATGTATTAAGTTATAATGCGTCAGAATTTATAAAAAGTTTACCTAATCGTATGTGAAACATTTTGTTCTTTGCGTAAACCAAATTCCTTTTTAACCCCTATGCAAAAAGAGGGATGTTATAAGTTTTGACGTGTCTGTATGTCTTTCTGTTGCATCTTAGCTCCTATATGAATGGAACTATTTATCGTTTTTTTTTATTTGAATTCTTATATGACCGAGTTCATTCTGAGCATATATTATATATGAAGATCTGGACAGGGGTTTTGAAATGAGCTGAAACTTTGAAGATTTAATAGCTCATTTCATATTGCACTTTTACTTTGATGACATGGTGTTGATGGTGCAGCATCACAACATATCTAGCATATAATAGGTACCTAGCAATACTACTTGAAAATATCTACTTCTTTAACAGTCTTCCAACTTGAAAATGATTGGGTCTAATAATAAAATAAAGTTAAAACGGCCAACAATCTATACTTTCTCGCAAACAAATCTTAGATAACGGCACTAGTAATTTACAAACAGATTTTATCCTCCGCTTTCTTGAAAATGTTTCGTAGACTGCGTATATTATAATGATATTATAAGCGAACTTCGTACCGCCTTAAAAATTGGGTTGGTGGTAGAAAGGTGAAAATTTTGTGTGGAAAATTGTAGGTATTTTTAATGTCGAATCATAATAAAAGTAAAATAAAAAATATCATCCAAAAAAAAATGGGATTGGCCGCCTAAGAGCGGTCCACCTCATTTTTTCTATAATATGGGTACGTAATTTATTTTTCACACATAAAAATAAATTACATCCTTTTTTTAGACCTTTTTACTGATTATAGTACTCCCACACAATTCGCAACGCATCGCAAATATCTGCGAGCTCCATAGACCAACGCGAAAAGATTTTTTTATAAAGAAGATCAGCGGGGCTATTCTGCAAAATTTTCACGCGCGGATCCGCTCGTTTCCCAATTAGATTCGCGCGGATCCAGAAATACACATTACAAATACATAAACGCCCCGCTGTGCTTAGTCATTGTGGTCATTAAATACTGGTAATGATTAATCTTAACCATCCATGCTGGAAATTAAGAAGGTGCGCATCGCGTGTCTTTCTCTTACTCCCTATTTGGAATAAATAGTATTTGGATTTGATAGGTACGTATGGATTCAAATTTAGGGTTCTAATCAGAGAACAAAATGAACGAAGAGAACAAAGCAACAACTATGCTGTAAGAACAAACTCAGTTTTCACCTCGGGAACCCGCTGTGTGATTTAAGAATAGAACAAGTATTTCAAATAAATTTTAAATCACACCGGTGAATTCCGTGGTGAAAAGTGAGTTTGTCCTTACAGAATAGCACAATAGCTGATAGTAACAGAGTAACTGAATTAAAAAATATTGGCGTAATGGAGAGATTCGACACTCTTGGTGTCTTTTGCCATCAAAAATCAATAATATGGGTTCTAAAATATATAAGTATAGCACTTACATATATTTATTTTCTGCATCTGACACAAAAATTTAACATTAAGTATATTTAAATAGGGGTTACCTAATTATTTACCTACAAATTCATTTTTAATTCTAGGATCCACACAATATACACTAGATATGTATATTACGTAATGGATCATTCACGACACTATCAGAGAATACCTAAATAATTTTGTTCGTAACTTGAAATTCCACTTTACGATATCATAAGTTTGCTAGTCAATTAATAAAAGGCATTAATGATAAGGCGCTTAACACGAAGATTCTAATAAATTTAATTTTGTGAGAATTTTGTTGTTAACTTGAATATTACCTACCTTACTCTTATATTCTTGCTATGCTAGTTCTCTTAATATTTTATGCGTAAGCATCCCAGCTCACCCAAGTAGCTTAAAAATCAACTATCACCTACAAACTGTAGCCTAAATGGAAAGACAAATTTTCCATAAAATTTTCAATCTCACATCATATTGAGGATCGCAACTTTTAGCTGTCTTTCCTACACAGCTTGAAATTAACAGACGTATTCAACAAACAACTTTTGGAGTTACAAAACAAACCTTTGAAGTTGCACAACAATATCATTCGCAAATAGAACATTATAACGAACTTTTCACTAACCTGAACAAATAACTAACAACCACACAATCATTCCAGCTCTTTTCCCCAATCACAAACATTCGATTCACCACTAGCAACACCAACTTTCCACACATAGCAAAACTTTATATAACTTCAAACGGGTTAAAGCGTTCATTTTGCAGCTAAATCTAATTGGTTGACCGTCGCTAAGGACTTCCACATTTTCACTGGCCGTCCGACTCGGAGTTAGAATTCAAATTCACGTAGCGGTACCGAATACGATCAGCCATTCAGTTAGCGCCCAGTGTGCCCATCGGCCATATAAATCAACTTCCCCGTTTAACATTACCAACCACGCTATGCGCTTGTCCCATTGTGACACGAAGATCCTGCGAAATCGATAAGTCCTAACTGTAATAAAGCTTCTTCAAATTAAAATGATGAATGAGAAAATTATTTTATTTCTTTTCGTTAGATTACACATAAAATTTGCATTGTACTTTCTTTTCTGTGAGGAACTCGATGGCGCGTGCGGTTAGTGTGTTCGATCTGCGATCGTGGAAGTTAAGTAACTTTTGTGATGCCCGGTCATTGAACGGGTGGCCAAAAAATTATTATCTCGAGCTCCTTCGTGCTTCGAAAAGGCACATTATGCCGTACCCGCACCAGCCCACGTGGTGTTTCATGACCATCCATAGAGATGGCCTGTGCCCCAGCGGGGGGGACATTAATAGGCCGATGGTGATGTGCTTATCTTTGTATATTAAGTATCAAGTTCTACAAAAATTAAATCCCTAACAAAAATATTAAAGAAGTAGGTACATTCCTAACAGTATCTCAATTTTATTGCTTAACTAATTAAAGTGAAGTATACAAGTTAAATAATTGCGTTATCGTATTGCATGCTAATTTATACTCCAGCTACTCGACCATCGCATGTCATGAATACGAAACAAATAAATAGCAAAGGTACTTTTCTTATTTACATACATTCCTATCGTATCTAATGAGACTTCCAAACGTGAATACAAATCATTCTTAATCCTCGTCTTGTCTACAAAGATTCTGCTACGCGCAGGTTTCGAACCCACGAGTTTCCGGTTGCCGCGGGTGCTGAGTAGCGTTGCCAGACGTCCCGTATGTCCCGGGAACGACCCGTATTTCAAAATAATTGAAAGAAAAAGATACATGTACCTATTCGATTAAAATTTTGGCACGCAACAATTTTCTAAGAATACAATTCCTATAATTTTGTTTTTATTTATTTTTAAGCATTTAACTGCTAGATGTTTAAATCTAAAGAAAAGTTTACTAGAAAAAAATCCACGCGGGCCAGGCAGCGGGCGGGACTCGAACCCGCATCCTTCGCAATCCGGGCGAATGCACTGACCATTATGCTACCACGGCCCTATTCGCCGCGTCGAAATTTTCCTAGCCTTAAGCTGCCAGGCAGCGCCATCTCTTCGCATTGTAGGTAACCCACAATGTCAAATGAATACTTTTTCAAGTATTAAACGTTTTGAAAGAAGAAATAGCAATTATAGTTATGTTTTTATTTATTTTTAAGCATTTAACTGCTAGATGTTTAAATCTAAAGAAAAGTTTACTAGAATAAAATCCACGCGGGCCAGGCAGCGGGCGGGACTCAAACCCGCATCCTTCGCAATCCGGGCGAATGCACTGACCATTATGCTACCACGGCCCTATTCGCCGCGTCGAAATTTTCCTAACCTTAAGCTGCCAAGCAGCGCCATCTCTTCGCATTGTAGGTAACCCACAATGTCAAATGAATACTTTTTCAAGTATTAAACGTTTTGAAAGAAGAAATAGCAATTATAGTTATGTTTTTATTTATTTTTAAGCATTTAACTGCTAGATGTTTAAATCTAAAGAACCTATAGTTTTTCTAATTATATAGTTTGTCTTTAGTATCCCTAGTTCCAAATACTTTGCAGAGAGGTTTTTTTGCAGATGGCATTAAAAAGGTCTGAATATGCGCAACAAATGTATTCCGGATTTGATAAAGAACGAAGTAATGACCGTTTTCAACTATGATTATCTATCTCTGTCTCTCTGTGATCGGTACCCTTACGCTGACCACGGTCCTCAGACATGAGTTGCACCTGAAGCGAACCGTCTGCTTCCACCGGTTTCTGTCCAGTGCTTCTCTTACCATTGTATAAAGTTTGGACAAGGACGAATCTTTAATTCGGCCGGTCCATCTTGTTGGACAACGATCTTTTCCTACGGTATTCCCAACTAGTTTTAGTAGTACGGCGGGCTGTTTCCGCAACTCGCCACCCAGTGCCTATTTTGCGTAGGGATTGGCATCAGTCCTGCCATCCCAGCTTCTCCAGAAAGTTCAGCAGTCCCCGGATGCTGCTGCAGGCTTCTACATGTGTACTAGTGGCTTCCCATTAGAGAAGTCCTTTGTCTTGCAACGCCTCTGCACACCAGCAGAACATGGGCGCTCGTCTCCTCCTCCTCCAGGCAGGCTCTGCACAGAGGGCTGTCAGAAATACCTTTATTATTATAAAGGTGTTTGTTGAAGTAGCCGTCCGTAGCAGTCCGTGAGTATACCCGCAATTTGTTTCAGGGCTTGTCTAGGTAGTCTGATTAACGTACGCAATAGCTGCTGATTTACCTTAGGAACGGCTTCCCTAGCTTACCTGCAGTCAGTGTGTTTTGCCCAATATTCATGGTGTTGTCGTTGACAGCGCTCCCTTATCCAGGTTGTCAGCTGTCGATAAGGTTTGGGTACAATTGGCTCCGGGCCAATGGCCGTCCTGCTGGACCCCTCTCTAGCCAAGCAGTCAGCCGCATCATTACCCCAAGGGGTGACCTCAAGAGCCGCTGTGTCCTTTAATCCATTGTAAGGTCAGTCTATTGTCATTACAAATATTGGATAACTTACAGTGGCATTCATAAATTAAGCCTGATATCGTTATATTGTTGTCCAGTGCCTGCAGGACAGAAGCGCTGTTAGAGAGAATATGAATATGTTTTCCTCAAAGGTGTTCCCAACTCTAAATTTCCATTGTCTCTGCGGACTATGTGGCCGACGTAAGAAAGAATACGCTTCCGGCATAAAGTGGACAAACGATATTTTATGCGAAGCTATGTCAAGATCGATGCATTGGTGCATTTTGCCGTCCAAGCTTTTCTCAGCATTCGCCTGGTGCAACACCATAACAACACATCTTGAATGCATCAATCCTTTACCTTTCTCGGGCTACGATTGTATTCTTTTGGACTCCATAAAGAAAGATAAGGAAAACCTGCTCTTATCAATCTAATTTTGCAAATTCCACTTTTCTTTTAGAGGTTGTTTAGTCGAGACATGGCCTCTTTTGCTATCCCAATTCAGATTTTTATAGCAGGGACACAGCTGCCGTCATTGTTGATTTGGGAGCCCAAGTATATGTAGTGGTAGACGTTTTTAATGGCAGAAATGTTGCAGTCTAGCTTTCCGGTTCGGTCAACAATCATAGTTTTAGTATTTGTTCAGTTTACTGCTAGACTGATGTTGTCACTTTCTGCCTCGAGTCGTTGGTACAGCTCACTCATATCTCCCATAAATGTTGCCAGAAGAATGGTCTCATCGGCATACCAAAGATTCGATATCTATTTTCCACCTATAGGTAAACCCTTCTCCCAATTGTCTACTGTCTTCCGAATAATGTACTATGTGACAAGATACAACCCTGTATCACTCCCTTCCTAGTTTGGAACATATCGGAGTGTTCAGATCCTCTTCTGATGAACGAACGATTTTAGTGTACAAACTCTGAATGAAAGAAAGGAGGAGATGTTCAGGAGCTACCATTTCGAGTAGCACGTTCTACAGTCGTGTGGGACATTGTACGCAGTCAAATGTCTGGCCTGTAGTCGATAAAAAAAGATGGCAGTAATTACATTTACAGTTGCATTGAATTCAAAAATATGTTAAATTAAACAAAAGATAATATGTTAAAACTTGCCCAAATTTCTTTGTAATAAAAATATTAAATAGCAATAAAAACAAAGTAACAATATATTTTTTTATTTGTCCTGGGGTTTTTTTTCAATCCCGTATCTTTTTCGTATATTTTAATTAGCATTTTCTTTTACTTTTATTGTACACTAGATGTGCCCGCGACTTTGTTCACATGGATGTCGGAAAATAACAACATGTCATACGTATCTTCTTGCATTTCTTTAAGCTAATAGAGCCGAGCCACTGGGGTCGGGCGATAGGGGGCAGTAGTACCGGGGTACTGGTAGGATAAGTGATAAGTGGTCATCCATAAATTGCCCCTCCCCCCGTCCTTGTTACAGCTGGTCACATTTCTGAGACCCCCCCCCCCCTCTATTGTGACGTCTCATATTTTGCTACTTTTAGAAATTATTGAATGATAACTGCGGTTCTGAAATCAATTTAATTTCCATTTAAATTGTTTTTTTTATAATATTTACATCAAGTCAAACAAACCAAAAGACGATAAATTATATTTCAAGTTCACCCTTTCGATCATTCTAACCGATGTCGGTGCATATTGCAAAGAGTACACTCGTCCACTTACTGAACTCAATTGTTAATTTGGAGACCCTTTTCGAAATTATTATTAGTGGGTATTCAAAAAATATCCTTTGCGAAAACATAAGTCAATCAGTCGTTCTCAAAATTCTCTATATTCTATTGATTTTTTTTGCCAAATTAAGACCTATGGCTCGCACTTTTAAAAAATTATCATTATCAGATCTCATGTAGAGCCAAGTTTCTAACTTTATACTCCCTAGTTCTACAAAGCCTAACTTCACCAACTCTACACCATAGTCAAAACATGTAGCTTGACCTTTTTGGCTATGGTTATATGGGTGTAAGAAAGCTGGAAAAATAATTCACTTTTCTGTTATACAATCCGATCTTACTAATATTGTAAATGTGAAAGTTTGTTTGTGTGTTTGTTGAAAAAACAACTGAACAGCTTTGGATGAAATTTGGTACGCATATCGTGTGTGAAATGGATTGAGACATAGCATACTTTTTATCCTGATAAAAATTTAGTTTCCTGTGGGATACTCAAAAAACTAAAGTTTCTTAAACGAAAGTTGAACGACTATTACTCTTAAACTAACAAATCTATCTTAACCGTTATGGTTTTCCTTAAAACTTCATGAAAAGCAAATTATCGTGACTTTTTTCGGGTTTTTCAAGCCAATAGTTTAGCTATTAGAGGG